GGCACTAATCCTCTGCTGGTATACAGCCGGCACAGCTTTTCCCATTTTCTAGACTGCCTCTTCATTTGATGAAGTTTCCTTTGCAGCACAGCCTTTTAATTTCCTGAGGTCCACTTGTGGATTGTTGGTCCAGTTTCCTGGGCAACTGGAGGTCTAGTCAGAAAGCCTTTACCTGAGCATGTATCCTGAAGTGTACTCCTGCGCTCTTCTAGAAGTTTCAGAGCTTCAGGTCTGACATTGAGCTCTTTGATCCATTTGGAATCGATTTATGTGCAGGGGAGAGAGAAGAAGCAAGTTTCATTCTGGTTCACATAGATATCCAGTTTCCCAACACTGTCTTTCTCCAATGTGTCATTTGGCTATGCAGTTTCTGCTCAGGCGCTTCCAGGCATCTTGAATTTTACATGGTGTGTGTCTTAGTCACCGTTCTATTGCTGTGAAGAGGCACCACGACCAAGGCAACTCTTATAAAAGAAAGCATTGAACTGGAGGCCTGCTTACAGTCTTAGTGGGTTCGTCCATGATTATCATGGTGGGAAGCAGACAGGCATGGCGCTAAAGAAACAGCTTTACATGCTGAACCATAGCAGCAGGCAGGTGGGGTGGGGGAGAGACACAGAGACACAGAGACACAGAGACACAGAGACACAGAGACACAGAACCAAAGAACCAATCCCGGCTGACACTCATGCAAACCACCCCATTGTGCTTCTATTTCCATCCAGCAGAGGATTTAAAAAATGCCGCTTCTGTTTCACCTGAAAGTGGATGTGTGTATTTTATGGGTGTGCATGTTTGTGTGTGTGCCCGTGGGAGTGTGTATGTGTATGTGTGTGAGTCTTGTGTGTTTATGTGTCTGTGGGAGTGTGACTTGTGAGTGTTGAAATGCCCGTGGGAGCATGTGTGTCCTGTGTGAGTGTGTGCGTGTGACTGGTGGGTTTGCACAGGAATTCTGCTTGACTTGGGCATTTAGGGACTTACAGCTCTGCTGTTCTGGATCCCTATTTTAATATTGTTATGGGTAGAGAATATACTCAGCACGACTTCAGCCTTTTAAAGTTTACGGAGACTTGTTTATGGCAGGATGTGCGGTGCGTCGCAGTGACCCGCCCACGGAGCTAAAAAGTATTTGGACTCTCCAGTGATGGCTCTAGTGGTCCATAAATGTCATTTCAGTGATGTTTGCTGTTTCATCAGCCTTGTCTATGTTCTTATTGATTTTAATTATTTTAACAAAGGGATGATAAAACTGCCAACGTTAGGAGAATTATGAGACGTCCCCTTTGTTTCTTCCCTGTTTATATTTGAGGCTTACCGCAGGTGCTAAGGGATGCTGTAGACATTAAAATGGTGTGAAGCAGGTGAATATATCTGCCAATTTACGTGCTGACTTTTCTTGAGACAGAACAGTTAAAACAGTTATAATGAAAATCCCTAATACGCCATTTTAATTCCCTCCTCGCGGGTGCCCTGGCTCACCACACTCTTCATCATGCTTGCCTTTGCATCCTTTGACCTTCATGCCCTCCCCACCCCCAAGGGTAGAACCATGGAGTCATTCTTTCCCCCTTGACTATGTAGCATTTTCCTGGTGTTTCTGTCTTGTTTCACTCAGCATAATGTCTAGGTCCACCCATACTTTAGCACATGGCAGATTGTCCTTTTTAAAGCCAAATAGTATTCCAGTGTGCTTTTATTAGCCACTTATTTAGTGTGTGTGGTGTATGTATGGATGTGTGTGTGTGTGTGTGTGTGTGTGTGTGTGTGTGTGTGTATTCAGAGGCTAAAGATTTACATTGTTTCCCATCTTATTTGGTTTTGGGTGTAGAAAATCAAGTCTGGAGCTGTCTGACTGGTTGGCTGCTAAAGCCCTAGGCATCCTCCCATAACCATCTCCCCAGTGCCAGAATTACAGGAGTACTCTGCCATCCCTGTTGTTTATTTTTTAAAGATTTTGAATGCATTTACGTGTGCATCTGTATGAGTGTATATCATGTGTGTGCTGTGCTCATGTACAGGCCAGAAGAGGTCATTGGATTCTCTGGACTTGGAGTTCTAGATGGCATGAACCACCTGACATGGGTGCTAGGAATCTAAATTCTGGTCCTGCGGTACCTCCCCAATCCTGCCTCAGTGTACTTTTTATCCACACTGCATTCTCTATATCTACAGTCCCCACCTTTAGGTTGATGACTTCATTTCTGAGGGTCTTCCGCCCACAGGAGGGTCTCATGTGCATGTGACTGGGTGTGTGTGTGTGTGTGTGTTTTTAAATTTTTAAAATTTTTATTATTATTATTATTTTTAAGAGGAACCATGTTGTTTTCTGTGGTACTATGCCAACCTGGAGGCCCATCAGGTAGTGCAGTGGCATTTGCTTTTCTCTCTACCCTCACCATGCCACTAGCCGAAGCACCATTGATATTCCTCTGAACTTGGCTCCAATGTGAGATTTCAGGGTGCACCAGCTGCATCCACACCCTTCCCCTCCATCTTTCTTAGTCCTCACCCCCCTAGACTTGGGGAGAAGATGGACATCGTTCTTGCTCTCCTCTCCTTACTTAGAATTCTGTAGCTAACCTGTCAAATGCAGACGTGGCTGTCTCAGGTAATTACTTAGAAAGAACAAGAATCAGATGTGAAATCGTGTCTTCACACCAGAGCTAACTGTGGAAATGCCCAGTGGCCCGAAAACAAAAAAGTTTGGCAATCGTGTTTTCCTCTTATGAGGAATATTATAATCAGGTGATGGCTGGTTTTCATTTACAAAATGTTCTTTTATCTGTATAAATTTTTTAATTTCTGGGGGGTGGTGGTGGAAAATAGCTCTTAAGGATATTAGGTACTCTTCATTTGACTGGCATCATTATTGAAACTGCTGGTCGAAAGAAAATGATATATGTTGATTTTTGAGTGAGAGCAATGAAGGCATTATGAACCCCCATTCCCCACTGTGGGCTCTGAGAGAGTTAGGATTTATCATCCTGAAGCTTGGCTCATGTGGCAGATGCCAGGTGCCATGGGGCTTTGAGCATTCCACGTTGTAGTCTCATGGGCACCTGTGGCCAGACCTTACCCGGTGGCTCCTCTGTGGGACGTGAGAAGGCATCTCCCTTCCCCATGACCTTAAGACCTGACACCTCCCCAAGAGGATTTCTGACATCAGTGTATTTCAGATGGTTTCCTATACGAGTTATGGGAGGCACAGCATGGCAGTGGCTGGAAAGGAAAGCATATGTGACAGGGTGTCACCAGGCCCTGAAAGAGAGCACTGCTCTGCTATAGCCAGGGGAACCCATGAATATGGGGGTCCCCCCTTAGGAAGGCCCCTACAGGAAAATGTTGGCCTGAAGCAAGTAGCAGGGACCCTGATGGAAAGGCTCCTCGAGTGACATACCTTAGATCATCATGAGACAGTGCACGTATGTGCTGTCAGACACTGGGACTTCATGGGCATTGGGGAAAGGCATTTCCTTATCTAGTTGAGAAGTGTTTGCCAAGTGGCACAGGGCTGCTTGGTACTAACACTCCCAAGCCAGGCTTTGTTCCCAACATGGGGCAAATGAGGATATCTGCTTGGGGTCCTTGAGCCCTTTGGAAGACTATAAGTTGAAGGTTATTTGATCGCTCAAAGAACCTTTTACTTTTTTAAACTTTCATTTCTGTTTCTGATTATATGTGCTTGTAGCACATGTATGTAGGTGTCAGTGGAGTCCAAAAGAGGGTGTTGGATCCTCTGGAGCTGGAGTTACAGGTGATTGTGAGCCACCTGCCATGGATGCTGGGCACTATACTTGGGTCCTCTGGAAAAGCAGCAAGTGCTCTTAAACACTGCACCATCTCTCCAGTTCTGAAGACTGTTTTTCCCTCTGAGGATGAACACAGAAGTGATCCTTCTCATGTCTGCTTCCCACAGAGAACATCTAGATAGGGTTTTACCAACAGGGCAGTCCTTGCCTGGACTTTTAGGACTCGTGGTCCCCAGCCCGAGTGGCACAATCTGCCTACCATCTTGTGTTTCTCCCATTGCAGCTACAGTGAAGGTGTGCCCCGTGCTGGCATCTGCAGGTTGCTGCCAGGTAGCATGTCATCTTGTCCTCAGGGAGCTCACACCCTTTTGTAAGAAGGAGTCATTGCTTTTACCCTAGGGTAGCTAGGCTCCGGAGGAGGCATGCTTCCTGACAGAGTTGCACAGGGGCTGAGGAAGGCCCAGTTCTTGACTTGAACCCAGGTCCATCCCTTCTGATCTGATCGACTTTCTCTGGCAATTTTAAGAGGAAAGACTTCTCATAAGGCATGAGCTCCTTTCTCCCCTGTCCACCTTCTCTTAGGTCTTTAAAACACTGTAGTGAGAAAAATCACAGGTGTAGGGTCAAATGCTGGACCCTTAACAAGCTGCTTTCTCCTCTCGTCAGACTTCATGTGCAGTACTGGGAGGAAGAGACCATCTGCGCCCCCTTTGAGAGTCTTTTGTGTCCAATATCTAAACATCACCACCACCTGTGTCCTCTTTTCCTTCTCCAGTGACAAGGTGTGTGTGTGTGTGTGTGTGTGTGTAGCAGTGGTTGGGCAAAGCTCACTGGCAGCTTCGGAGACATTGGTTTGTGGCTGTTTGCTTCTATGTCCATCAAACGGACAAAGTGCAGCCTAGGCTTTGGGGGGAGTAGGCCTTGTGTGGTGCTTGGTGCTGAGTAATTGCTGAGAAATACCATTCAAAATGCAAGGGGCTTTGGTTCTGCCCACTGGCTTTACGGTGCTTGGTCAAGCTGTATTTCCCTCGTACTGAACACATCCTGAATGGTCATAGTTCAGTTTCCTCCTATTCACAGGGCCTTCAGGGCGGCAGCTGCTGATGTATCTCAAGGAACTGCTACCATTCCCTCACTGCTGACGGCAGCCTCCCTTATGGACCAGCCTGGATTGCTCCAGATCAAGCTGAACAGCGGCCACCCTTTTCAGCTTTGTCTGCTGAACCCACTGTCTGTCTGTTTTATCCTCAGAAAAGAAAGATGTGACTCAAAGCCTGGAGAACTACACAGCCAAGTGTCCCGGGACGATGGAGCCCATCACCCTCCCAGATGGCCTCACGCTGCCTCCCGTGCCGTTTACCAAGCTGCCCATTGTCAGGTGAGGTGGTGGGCAGGGTGTAGGGAAAGCTTCCAGGCTGCTCACGTGCAGGGCCCTTCAGAAGAGTCCTGCTTCTGCAGCTGGCCCTCTGGCTCATGACTTTAGTTTTTAAAAGTTGTTCTTTAATTTTTGAGACTTCCATATATGTATGCAAGGAAATATGAAAATATCAGCCCCCTTCCCATTTTCCTCCCCAACTCTCCCTGTATCCCTCCCACCCCCTACTCCCACCTGCAGTTTCATGGCTCATAACCTACTTAAGCTTGACCTCAGGACTCAGGAAAGTCGCTTACAGAACTGAGAGCAGTGGTGTTCTGTAGCTGCCGCGCTCCATGCCCGTTGTGTGGTAGAGCTGTGGACAGATGGGACCTTGCTGATTTCTAGTCCAGCGTGGAATGTGCCCAGGCCTGGCCATTTCCTGCTCACAGCTGTGGGCTGACTCCCTGCCAGCTCTTCAGGAACAGGGGCATTTCTCTCCTCCCAAGTGTCATTGCTCACTCCCCTGTAGCTACAGTCAGGGCCCCTCAGTGCCTCGGGCTATCCAGGCCATGCACTGTTGCAACACCGTGAACCAGGTCCCAGGGGTCTTCAGCCACACACAGATCTCACAGAGGAACTTCCGAATTCCAGAAAGGTTTGTCTCAAGGCTGGAAAGAGGCAGTTGCAGCATGGCATTTTGCTGTGGAGTGGAAGTGTGCAGTTCTAGTGCCCCCATGGTGTCTTGGACACACCCTTCATCTGTTATTATATGTGGTAGCCCTGTGGTGTTCCAGGACGGTATCACTCAGCCCTCTCTGGGTGTCTGTTACTGATAAGAGCCCTCAGTGAAGCTTCGTGTGAGCTTTTGCCTCTACCTCCTGAGCGGGAGGGTTACAAGTTGACTTTCTAGCCAGGTGTGGCAGCGAGGCCGTACTCCAGTGCACCATGGGAGCTCCATAGCTGCTGTTGGCTTTTTTTTTTCTGGGTCTGTTCTGCCCCTGAGAGAATGCGCCTCTGAGCTTTCTTCTCCTCATCTGAAATGTTCAAGAAGCTTTTTGCTCACTGGCTCGTCTGGTTCTGTCTGAGCTGAGCTGACCCTTATGGAAGCACAACACAGTGCCTGGTGCCCATCACCTATCACCCATCACCTTACAGCCACTAGGAAAACCTTCATTTTCTCATCGAGGATACTTTAAATATTATATTCAGAAAGAGTACCTTGCCTGAAAAATACTGAGTGCTATGTTTTCATTCAGGTGGGATGAACACAGTACTTACAACATAGGCATGTGTCTGGGCAAGTCTGCTCGGATGCCATCTTTGTCGCCATGCCTTTATGGCCCGCCTGTCACTACACCTATGCCCAGCCTCCTGGTGCCATTGTTCTCGCTTGATTTTTTTAAAAATTTTTTTTTTAATTAATTATTTTATTTATTACAATTTATTCACTTTGTATCCCAGCTGTATCCCCTTTCCTCTTCACCTCCTAATCCCACCCTCCGTCCCTCTTTTTTTCCCATGAGCCTCTCCCAGTCTATTCATAGGTGAGTTCCTCCTTTCCTACTATCTGATCCTAGTCTATCAGGTCTCATCAGGAGTGGTTGCATTGTCTTCCTCTGTGGCCTGGTAAGGCTGCCCTCCTCCCTCAGGTGGAGGTGATCAAAGAAACAGTCCCTGTTCCCCTTACTAGGGAATACTAGGGAACCCACTTGGGGACTGAGTTGCCATGGGCTACATCTGTGCAGGGGTTCTAAGTTATCTCCATGAATGGTCCTTGGTTGGAGTATCAGTCTCAGAAAAGACTCCTGGGCCCTGGTTTTTGGTTCTGTTGCTCTCCTTGTGGAGCTCCTCTTCCCTCCAGATCTTTCTATCTCCCCCTTCTTCTATAAGCTTCCCATGGGAAGTTCTCAAAGTCTGGCTTCAGGTAGTACTTGCTGCTATATGTGGAAGCCTGTTCTTGATGGTTTTCAGAGACTCATGGCTAGAGAAGAAGCTGTGCTTGTTCTGGTGACTGCCACTGTGTGGTTCGGGCCTGGTTCCCCCTTTGTGGAGGATATTAGAAGCCAGGGCTTTTCCCAGCCTGTGCTCTTCCATCCTGTTTATGTTAGCTTCACATACCTTGTCTGGTCCTCTGTGGTGTTCTTTGCCTCTCACTCAAGTCTGAGACCTCACTTGCCTGGTCACATGGCTTCATTACCCTATAGAGACCCTGTGAGTGGTTAAGTGGCACATGGACTGTGCTGGATTCTCTGCACAGGCCCCCTGCAGACTTCTCTGCACAGCCCCATGCTGCCTTGTCTGTTGGTTCTCAAGGGAATCCCTCTGATTCTCTCACCACGGCTCCTAAGCATTTTAAGGCTTAGCTCAAGGCAGTGTCTAGGTGGGTACAGTTGTCTGTGTGAGACATCTTCAGTCCCGGAAAAATTACAACCCAGTCGTGGCCTGGAACTCAGAGGGAGGCCGTCTTCTCTGTGAAGAAAATGAGCCCAAATGGCCAATCTTTAATTCTTCTCTACCTCATGACTACCCTGGAGCTGCAGCAGCTCCAGATAACACATCTGCGTCTTGAAGAAAGGAGGAGGGAAGGCCTAGAAATGTTTTTCCTTTGGCTTAATGAGAATAAAAAAAATATTCCCAACAGATTGGTAGCAGTCAGTGTCAGTGGAGTGAGTCTTAAAGACACTGTGAAGTAGGTAAGTCATTCTCCTCAACTCTGTAATGCAGCTGGATAAAAGAGAGGCGGGTAAGAAATTAGTGCTTGCTTATCCAGCCAACAAAGCCCACGGAACTGGATGCCATGGATCTTCCCTCTGAACACATGGAAAAGCTGGCCAGAAGGTCTTCCTGGCCTTAAGTCCACTTGTGTCTCTGTGTACCAGTTGGTAAAATCCTCGATGGAGCGATGCATGCATCTGAGCAGCCAGGCTGCATGCAGGCAGGCTAGAGCTTACCTGTCCCCTTCCCTGCTATGTCCACCCCAGTGCAAGCTTTGATTTCAGGCCCCAGATGGCATCAAAATGGCAGGAGTAACGTCAAACCTCATATCTTCTTCCTGGTGACCAAGAAATGAGAGAGAAGGTGGTTTTGGGGATCTGTGAAACAAATGGAGCTTCCTTCCTTCCTTTCTTTTTGTCTTTCTTTCTTTGTATTTTTGAGACAGGGTTTCTCTGTATAGTCTTGGCTGTCCTGGACTTGTTTTGTATACCAAACTGGCCTCAAACTACAGCCATTGCTTGCCCTTGCCTCCCTGAGTGCTGGGATTAAAGGCCTGTGCCACCACGTCCAGCTAGATGAAGCATTTTTTTTCCTTTTAGAAAGTTTTCCCTTCCCTTCCCTCTCACAGAGTTATGACCTCAAGTCTGTGTCAGACCCCAGGTAACATGCTTTCAGGAAAATGTATCCATGGTTTCCCTGAAACAAAGCTCAGTGTTATACATGGAGACGGAATGTCAGAGAGAGATAGTCAACAAGTATAGTCACATGGGTGATACAACTGTCTACCTGCCCCTCTGTGGGACATGAACATGAAACCAGGTCCCAGGCTTCCATATATGACATACAGGTGAGGATCAAGGCACACGAGAGGTGCTCTTAGCAGTCAGCTCCTCCCCATCCCCCTGAGAAGCCTTATTACAGGCAGGCACTGACTGGGATGTATGCCATCTTCATTGGGCTTGTGGCACTTTCTGCCACAGTGGCCAGGTGATTGTGTCTGTTCATAGCAATAATCAGGTTTGGTTTTATTCTGGAATGATTTCCCTGAGCAGATAAAATCAAATTATTTTACAGTTACCTGCTTGCCAGTCTGATATTGGTGCTGCTTTCCTGAATCTGTCTGTCTGTCTGTCTATCTATCTATCTATCTATCTATCTATCTATCTATCTATCTATCCATCCATTCATCTACCTATCTTTCTATCCATCTACTCATCTGTATACATCCATCCATTTATCCACTCATCCATGTATCCATCCATCCACCTACCCACCCATCTACCTACTTACCTACCTATCCATCCAACCATCCACTCATCCATGTATCCATCCATCCATCCATCATCCATCTATCCATCTATCCACCCATCCACCCACCCATCCACCCACCCACCCACCAATCCATCTACTCACCCATCTACCCATTCATCTATATATCCTTCCATCTACTCATATATCCATCTACCTATCCACTATCTACCTATCTATCTACTCGTCCACTCATTATTTATCTACATACTTAGCCACATACCCACTTACCTACTCACTAACCCATCCTTTCACCCACTTATCCATTCACTTACCTATACACCCATTTATCTATTCATCTATCAATCCACTTACCCATCAATATAGCTATGGACTCAGGTCTTCTTTTAGGTTTCACAATGACATAGTCTATTTTGTCCCTATCCTGATACTCTATGCTGTAGCCCTTGGAGCTAGTTCATGATGGCACCTTGGTCTTTGTCCTGTATCCCTCATTCCTGGGCACTCTAGGGAGTAAGTCAGTGTATAGTTCTTTGTCACCTGGATACTCAGCCACACAGCCGAGGATACTGAGAGTTGCAGATGGCTTGTTGAGGCATGAAGTGTTCCTTCACAACTAACTCCTTTCATGAGTGTGCTCTTGCAGGAATTAGGCAACAGAATCTAGAGGTGTGTTCTTAGGCTTCAACACAGATGTGCAAGACCCATCTTACTGGCAATGCCTGTACCTGTACCTGGCCTATGGCAGGTACCTGCCCTTGCTTCTTTTCCTGCTGCTATGATAAAATACCCCAACTCAACAACTTTAAGGGAGGAAAGGGTTTTTTTTTTTTTTTGGTTTTCATTTTCTTTTCTTGTTGGTTTTGGCTTCAACTCCAGGTTCCAATCCATTGTTTGGGGGAACGTGAAAGCAATTCCAAGTTACATCGTATTGTTTTGGGGGAAGTCGAGGCAGGAACTGGAAGCCTGTAGTTATAGTCACAGTCAAGAGCAGAGAGAGTGAACAAATGCTTGCTCTGTTCTCTTAGGTTCTGTGG